ACACACACACACGCACACGCACACACACACACACACACACACACAGGTACACACACACACACACACGCACAATAAATCTTACAAAATAACAAACCAGACCTCGAAGCACTGTTTATACCTTAACATGTAAATGTTTCTAACAGTAAAATGCTACACTGTTGTCACACAAACTCATTTGGTTCCTCAATAAAAAGCAGTTTTTATCCATTTCAGATAAAACTTTTACAAAAATTGTGTCAAAAATTATTTTGTAACAGTGGAAATGGAAAGTCAGTTGCATTGTACTGAGGGATATATTCTTTGCAGTATGCAGTTTGTATACTGCATATTTTGGCTAATGTTAAAAAAAATATGGTTCAATATATTCCATGCATACAGAAAATGTACAAACCGTGCACAGTATACAATGCATACTTTATAGATTTTTGGATGGCTGATGCCGATATTGATATATGAAATTAGATTAATTTAAATAACATGTATAGCAATTGCAATAAAAATTGCAAAAATGAAATTGTAATTTATTTTACATAAGCCTATTTACTAAATTAGAAATAATTAATAGTGAAATGAATCAATATGAAAAAAACAGAACTTGATAAATAATAATAATGCAATATACCTATATAATAAATATATCTATAACATAAAAATATTTGATTCTGTAATCCTATTATAGTATTTTTCACAAAAAAAGAAATAGTTAAAAACACGAATCAAACAGAAGTAGCCTAAACACTGACCAACTGAGCACTCAGTAACCTGGTAAGTTTGTGAGCACTCCAAACTATATTTTTTCAAACAAAATAGCCTACACATATGACACATGAATATAACAGTGACAAAATAAAAAGCAACATAGTCTTACATCAAAGAATTTAAACGCTCGCATCTGTGCTCAGCCGTTCTTTGCGCTGTCATAATAAAAGTCCCTTTGCTGTCAGAATACTTATCGTTCAAAAAGAAAAAATATCGGCCGATATATAGCACAGAAGTATGCTATTTTGAACAGATACACACTATTAAACAGACGAACAGATTCGAACAAGCCCTTGTCAAACTGTCAATTAATCAGACACTCAGTTATAGTGAGTAAAACATGCAGCAATACCTTGGCCTTTTCGAGCTGAGCCTGAGCCTGTCTCTCAGCTTCTCTGCGTAAGGTCTCTTTATCTTCCTCCAGAGACACATCCGAGTCAGACGGCCGACTAGTGTATGAGTCCGCTGAACCCTGTGGAAAAAGCATTTTTTATATACACATTGTTTCTGTGTGTGCATTTATTTCATTAATTACATGGATTATGACACATTGTTTTTATTTGATTGTCTTCCTTGATTTTAAAACCATGACATTCACTCATTTGCTCAGGATAAATATACAGCTACTCTACTTAAAGTTGGTGTGCGTAATTTGTTCATGGCTGAATAGTTTCTCCTTTATCAATAAGCAGACAGAGTATAAGCCATTTACAACTTGATTCCCAACATTTTGAAAAAAGGTAACAAGTTTTGGTTATTATTGACTTACATTGTATGAAAAATGGAAACAAATTAGTTTAGGGACAAATTCTCACTATTATAACTAGTTATTTATTAGCATGCACATTACTAGCATATTGGCTGTTTATTAGTAGGCCTACTTATAAAGCACATATTAATGCCTTATTCTGCAGGACCATATTTTAGATCCCCTAATCCACCCCATACCTAAACATAACAACTATCTTATTAAATATTACTAATATAAGCAGCAAATTAGGAGTTTACTGAGGCAAAAGTTGTAGTTATTCGTTAGTTAATACTCCAAACTAAAGTCATGTGTGACAAAAAAAAAAATCACTACTAAAACATTTTTCAAAATATCTTTCAAAATATTTTAAGGAGACTTAAAGTCATACAGGTTTGGAAAGAAATTACGAGGGCTAGTAAATGAAGATAATTTTCATTTTTAGGTGACTGTGCCTTTAAATTAACTTGGCATTTCATTTCAGAGAACTAGTGTGTTTCTCACACAACGGCTGAGGGAGTGACTAGCGTAATCAATCTCTCCACATTTTTTCCTCTTCTGGAAAATCAATCACAGAAACGTTATTTTGGATTTTCCTTGTGCTTTTGGAGTGAATGGGAAGTGCCCCACCTGCCCCTACAGCAGGGGTGCCCAAACTCGGTCCTGGAGGGCCGGTGTCCTGCAGAGTTTAGCTCCAACCTCAACACACACACCTGCCTGGAAGTTTCTAGTATGACTAGTAAGAGCTTGATTAGCTGGTTCAGGTGTGTCTAATTGGGGTTGGAGCTAAACTCTTCAGGACACCGGCCCTCCAGGACCGAGTTTGGGCACCCCTGCCCTACAGAGTACAGACTATCATCTCTGAGGATCTTACACCGCAGCGGACAGAATGCTCCCTACTTAGCAAGGGCCCTAGACACAGGTAATAATAATAAAGTACTTTGAAATTGAAATGGATAATAGTAAAACAAAACCGGAGTACCGCAAATCATTTCCAACTGTTAACTGACTTTAAGAGTCATCTGCCAGTAAACAGACGGACCGACGGACAAACGCTAAAGAAAATGTAGACAAACATGGACAAACCACCAACAACACACAAAAACGTCTAGAGATTGAATCCAAGAATCTCCGTTATCGATGTGTAGTAGCCTAAGACAAAGAAAAAATATGGACGAAAAGAAACAAAACAAAACGTAAATGAGCGACGCGCCTAGTTAAGTAGATGTCAGTATAAACAAAGAATTTAGATATAAAATGAGATGAAAGGGACTTAGGTATGGCTAAAGTCCAAAACCACTGGTACTGGTTGGGATGGAAAAGGATTGATTGTCCAAAATAAATCACCTTCTAGCACCTGACCAATTACAGCACACACATACAAGACATTCTACAACTAAAATAGGATTTAAATTTAATTTAAACGTTATAATGTCTGGACACACACAGCCTAATTGCTGCATTTTTTGGGGTTGATTAAAAAAAATATTACAACTATTCACAATTTCGCATAAAAAGCTCTTTAACATACTTTAAAAATGGGTACTTATCACAAAAAAAAAAAAAATATATATATATATATGTACTTAAGTGCAAACTGAATATAATGTTTTCGGAACACTTCATTTCTAGTGAAACGTGTATGTCATATATTTAAATATATTTGTGATTTGTAATAATGAAGTTGCAATTCAGTACTTTTAAAATATATTAACTTTAAATGTAATATTGAATAACACACTACAGTTAAAATTAAAATCAAATACTTTACATGTGCTTTAGTATGTCAGTCAACACAAAAATAAGTGTACTTCTTTAAAGCATGACAAACTGATAAAACAAACTTAATGATTTAAAATGTACTTTAAAGCACAACTTTTAATTTTGACTTTATTCTTAAGTGCACTTTTTAAAAGTGTACTTAAGTGTGAAACGGTCAAGTGTCTCTCTTTAAGTCACTTAAGTGACCTTTAATTTCAATATTTCGTATTATCTGCAATTACAGTTTTTTTTAAAGATTTGAAGTACACTACAAGTGCACACATTAAGTGCACTTCTTTTTAGTAATAATAACACATAAATACACTAAAATGAATGCATCTTTGTATGTAGCTTCCTGTATATGAAAGGCTATAGAGAGATTCAAGAAAATATTTAGAAATTAAACCTGAACATACTTGATAGACACTGTTGATGTTTACATGAAATCACGGTCACCTAAAGGTCACAAGTGAAATGTGCATTTAATATTAATCATTCAAGAACATATAAAGATTAAATCAAAAGTTAAGATACTCAGCAACATACTAGCATGTCCTTTTGCTGTCAATTTCCATTCGCTTGCACACGTAAATAGTGTATTTTAAGAGTTTCTTACACCAATGTTGTTCTTGACTCGGTCTCCTGTTGCTCGTTTCAGCAGTCGTATCCAGGAGGCCTTCATCAGCCAATCCAGTTAGAGCATTTGCTCTCCTCACCATACCAACCACAAACTTCAGTAAACTCTAACAACAACTACAATATATACCGCCCACCATCTACCAAATGATACGCAAACATTATACATAAACCTGAGAGCCACAGGTATCAAAAATGCAATTATAGGCAAATAAAAAAAACAAAAACAAATCTGACACTGTTTTTTGTTTAGCTTTCACTAAAACTGCAATTGAAGCTACATAAAGTGCTACCTAATATCTCGGCTGTTGCCCGGGCTAATGTTATCAATGCTGCTGCTGTGGGAACGTAGAATTCTGCTGTGTTGTTGACGATGGCACGCAATTCCATGTGCTTGCTCTCCATCCCTGCGCATAGTGGATGATGAGAGCTGCTACGGCCTGTGTAGACAGTGGCGGTGTGTTTTCTTCTAGAATAATGAATGAGACTCAGTCCATCCCGCCGCAGCAACACCAGCAAACCAGGCTGCCATGCTCCTCTATGAAGAGCCCTTCCCCGCTCCCTAGAGCCTGGCGCACCGATGCGAAAGATGCTAGCACCTCTGCTGCAGTGATCTGCACCTCTAACTGCCAGTTCTTCTTTTACACGTTGTCCTTTCCGTCTTCTGTATGTCCATAGTGTTCCTCAGGCATCCAGGCTTCTGTACGCTCTACAGTCTTCCCGTCTCTCCAGTACGTCCTCTGTTTTGCATTCACTTATCATTAAAATAAAAGGCCATTGAATTGACTTAAAGAGAGACACTTTCATGACTGTTTCTTAACACACTTAAGTACACTTTTAAAAAGTGCGCTTTGTAATAATGTCAAATTTAAAAGTTTTACTTTAATTTTAAATCATGTTCTAATAATCTTTTGTTTTGCCTTAAAGAAGTACACTTATGTTGATGTGTTGACTAATCTACCAAAGCAGTAATGTTGTTATTTGATATTGCATTTAAATTTTATATATGTGACCCTGGACCACAAAACCAGTCATAAGTTGCATGGGTATATTTGTAGCAATAGCCAAAAATACATTATTTTTTTTATGCCAAAAATCATTAGGACTTAATTTGGACAACTTTAAAGGCAATTTTCTCAATATTTTGATTTTTTTGCACCCTCAGATTCCAGATTTTCAAATAGTTGTATCTCGGCCAAATATTGTCCTATCCTAACAAACCATACATCAATGGAAAGCTTATTTATTCAGCTTTCAGATGTATAAATCTAAAAAAAATTGACCCTTATGACTGGTTTTGTGGTCCAGGGTCACATATTGTAAATGTACTAAAATGCAACTTAATGTTTAAATACGTGATATTTCAATGTCTATAGAAATGACATTAAAGTATATTTTAGTTCACTATACAGTAAATGCTTGTCAGTCCATTCGGCAACACTTTAACCATATTTTAATTCATCGAATTATGACATTACATATCAAGGTGTACTTAAGTCCTACTTAAGTGGCTCAAAAACACTCTAACGTTAAGATAATTGCATTTAATATAAATTTAAACTATAATACATTTTCATTAAATTGCAATTAACATTTAATTAAGTGCCCAAACATATCATTCAGATCACACTTAATTATATTCTATTAAAGTATATTATTTCCATAAAAGGTTATCTCTTAACATGTACTTCTATTTCACAAGGGTTGTGTGGTTACCCAGGAACTGTTAAACACTTGTGAATTGTAAACAACACAGATTCTCTCTATTCTATGATTTCACTCTTATAAGCACTTAGTTATAAATCTGATTTGAACGCAGGTTATTTATTGAGTGCAAGACCTTTAAAACTTGCAGAGCTAACACTATTTTTAAATCTGTTAAATAATTAACTGATCTTCCGTAGATTTATATCAGTCTATGCATACTGTATAGCAAACTTAACAACAGGTAAGTGGAGGATTAAAGGGTGAACTTTTGACCTCCGAAAATGCAGTAACATTGTGAAGTTTCCAATCAGCTGCCCTGCACTGACTCAGTGTCAGACCTTGTGGATTTTAAAACAACACAATTCATCTCTACGAACTAGCTTTCATCTAATCAAAGAAATCTCACTGTGATGTTCCGTCATTTAATCAAAGATAGGGCTGTCAAAATGGATGAAAAAATTAATTCGAATTTTGTGCTTAATTATTATCAATATTCGAATTATATTAGAATATAAAAGGCATAATTTCAGTTAGGGGGAAAAAAAGTTTTGGCTTCTCTCCGGAGGCCACAAGAGGGCGCATCGAGCAAACTATTACTAATGCACGTTTCTTCAAAGCAATAAAATAACATGACTATCTTTGTAAAAAAGTGCATAATGTTTAAATTTATGTTTATAAACCATATATATAATTAATTAGGTTGCTTAAACAATTAGAAACAAAACAGCATCATGTATGCATGTATAGTTTAATACAAAGGACCGAAAACCAATCACAAAGAGTACTTTTTCATTTAAAAACATGAGATGCAGTGGGATGGCGAAAAAAACGCCATAAAGTCTCGAGTCATGTTTTTTAAAAGTTCAACTTACATTAATTTTACATGGCTTTCTAAACATGCGGCTCTCTTGTGCGAGACGTGAGTGCAAAGGTGATAGATGTCCCTCTTAGATGATAGATGAAACCTCTTGGTTTCAGTTTTGACGTAAACAATATCTTCTCCGCATTGATGTTCTCTTTTTCTGCAATATTTTGAAGGAACAATGTAGCAGCGCCACATCCAGTGGGTTCAACTGGAAAGGCTAAGAAAAACATTCAAATGCAACGACACTTACATCGTCGTCGCATCTTGTGTGCCACTGATAAGGCTGCCTGACGCACACCTAAAATTCCTAAAATCCTAAAATGTGGATTTTTATTTTAAATTCGACTAATATTTTAAATTAAAAAAAAATTTTTTACAGCCCTAATCAGAGGCTAAGTTGATTATTTTTTGATTTTCAGCAATCATCACAGGCTTATTTTCAGAAAATAACAGAATTCTTCATAAGATTTGACGTAAATGAGCTGTAATTTCCAAAACAATTTCTTGTGGTTACAGAGCTTGGTGCCTATTCTGAGAGAATGAACTGTCTTCTTGATGTTTAAACGACTGATCTGAATGGCCTGTTGAGTTCAAATTCTACAGTATATTACAACTCGGGCTCATTGGAAAAAGTGCCTGTGGCTACATTTCTGCATAATGATATTATGGTGCTACTTGCATGTTTCGCGACACTTTCAAAGTAAAATGTTAAGTAAGTGGTGCTAAAAACTTGTTCATTTTTCAGATTAACTGATTAATCTGGCAATGTTTTATTATGTTGGTTGTTTAATGTATTGTGGCAATTCGGAAAAGAAATGTCTGGTAAATGACGCTAAAAGATGAATGCCCTTTGAAAATAACATACCATCTACACTAAATCCGACTCAGAACATAACTGATAGTGTTAACAAAAGCAAATGTGAGAGAAAAATGCATTTGCCGATGCAACCATGCCATTTCAGCTACAAGTTTCACAGAACTACCTATGCACCAGAGCGTTTCGCATCTCAAGTGCAATGTTGTACCGGGTGCACTACTGAGCAAGTTTACTGTTTATGTTAGAAAAGCCAAACATATGGTGCTGGATATGTGATGCAAACCTCAAAATGAGTTCGTTTACAAATCATTCACTGTGGCAAAAGCGTTTTAAGGTCATGACATACTATTGTGCAAGGAACCATGCAAAAATAAGTCTTTTGTTAAATTGTAATCTGCCCATGTGATCAAAAGATGTGAAAAGGAATTTTAAAAAAAGCATTTTACTGCCACTAGTGTTCATTTCAGCAGGAAACTGCAGTAATTTTTTGAAGTTTTGCAAAATGTACGTAGAGGCATATTTTTCCAATGATCCTATGTTGGTATTATTTTATCTTTATTTCACACACACACACACACACACACACACACA